TGTATTAAGGCCGACAAACCATGATTTTTTTCAAGAACTTGGTGTAACTTTTTGTTCACAGCTCTCCCATTCTGATCCCTCAAAGTTTCAAAGCTTCTTTTTATATATTGAACTACTTTAATGGACTCGGACAATGGTATATTTTGCTGTTGTAAATTATCAATAGCCATAGTTAATTTAACAAAGTTTGATTTAATGTACGTAAGATTATTTTCTAAACCAGGTTTTACAATATGATATAACATATAAGCGACGAGTATCTCGTTGAGCCAAGCTATTTACGCAAGCGTGTGTACTGTGTATACTGCGTGATGTATTATATTCGTCGCAGATAATGTATCTCAATGAGTGACGAGAGACTCGACTTAAAATACAATCTAATGAAATATTTATAGGCAAACATTTAACATTCATATTGTCAGCTAAAATTATTTAAAAGCATTGTTAGCCAGAATATTTGTTACTAAAATTATAACTACTATTGGCTAAAATGCGGCTGGTTAAAATATGGTTCTGCAAAAATACATATCCAATTTAAAAAAATTCAGACCGGAATATTTTTGTTTCGATTGAAATTTAATTTGGACATAATATTTATGGATTATTTTTTTACGCTCTGGCTCTAATATCTATCTTTCTATTTAATATTCATTATATTCCGAATGAGGTTTTAACGGAGAGAAAAGTTAGACAATTTGGAAAAAACTAAAAGACCCTTTTTTATTATTTAGTAGGTTTTAAACTGTGGAGGAGGATACGGTGGGTTAGAATACGTGAGCCTGATCCTGTACTTACCCATCGGGAACAAGTGACATCATCACGCCGACTGATATTTGACCTTATACAATACGTTTGGGACGTATATTAAAAAAAAATTATAATAAATAACTTAACTTAAGTTAATAAGCTAATATTGTAAATTTCCGTATAATTTTTAACTTAAATGATTTAATAAAAATTTAGGATAAGATTACTATACCTATTAACTTAAAACATCACTTTAAATTATTTTCTTTTAACTTAACTCAATTAAAAATTATCATCAAATTGCCTAGGCTTAATAATCAAGGCAAGGAATTATTTTTATTTCGATTTCAGTTACGTCAACTTGAAGATTTTATGTTATCGAACATGACCCGATCTACACATACGCAGACTGAGAATGAATTATCATTGTCATCGGTATATGATTTAAACGAAAAGGTAGACAAATTGTTAAATTACCAGCAATCGTTGAAGGAAATAATCGACGGTAAACTCGTAACCATTGGGTATGACGTTGAAAATATTAAACACCATTGTAGCATGTTGAATACAATATTCCACGAGCTAGAAAATAAATTGATTTCACTAGAAAGTAATTAGTTATTTTTCAATTAAAAACACGTATAACATTATTAAATTATATGATACGCCACGTGATATTAGTATGTTATTATTTTTGTTTATAGGGAACACGGAAAACCCGATGCGCAAATATAGTGCAATTAAGACGCGAATTGCAACTCTAGAAAGTAATATACATTGCCTATTATACGACCATACCTATAATCTGTCCAGTGAGAGAACGCGTCATGCACTGACTAAAACTGGTTCCCCCAATCAACATCCTGCCAGAGAGGAACCGGTGTCAATAGCAGTGTGATGCTGAGGGATTTTGCAGAATTGGCGCGTTCTCTCGCTGTACGGAGTATACGTCATTATGATGTATACCGTGATATAAGTCAATTTCATATTTTTTACTTAACAAATTGTTTTATGTGTGTACGATGGATACGTGCGCAGATGATGTAATGAAAAACACTTCGCACATCATCGGCATGGACCATTCACACCGTTCGTTGGAGTGGACAAGACTGCAATACTTCGGATCCGCTGGAATATTCCCTCCTGATAACCGCCGTAACGATGACTTAACTTCATTTGTTGCGGCTCCATCTTATTATGATATGCCACCAGTGCCGAGATCGGTGGCTCAGTATTTTCCACCCGCGACTACAACAAATTCTCCGGTGCCGCCGAGTGCATTTTTGCCTTCACCGCCACCAGCACCGCCAATGCCTAGTGTAATTTTTCAACCACCGCCCCCGAAGACTCCAAAAAAATCACAATTGTTAACAGGTTCAGAAAAATCAAGCTCTTCCTCAGTGGTCACAGCGAAAGTCGAGGAAATGTACGGCCGGATCCCCATAACGACTGAGATTCTAAAGTCCGTTGTTCTCAAACCACCTGGCGAGAGGAAAAGAGCAAGTAAATCGGCAACGATATAATCGCCGTATTTTTGAAAAAAATATTTACGCATATGAAGAATATGAATGTAATCAATACATGCAAAATTGAYATCATTGTTAAAAATATGAAAAACTTACACACATTTGCATTGTAAATATTTCAACAATATATGATAGATTATTTATATATTTATTTGTGTAGGTATGCAAAATAACGAATAACATAGATAAGATGTATACAATATGAGTGGATATCTACTGGTAATACGATAAAAACAATTATTAACATCCCGATATCTGTTAAATATTTATTATAGCTATAAGTAATTAATATATCATAATATCAACCCATTAGAGCAAGGCTAATGATTTTTTGTCTCTAATTCTCAATCATATCTCCTATTTTAAATTTTTAAATATTATTTAGTTTTTTTTTTATAGATTATTCAATGTAAAATAATAATAATAAACTTTTGACCTACACATAGTATAATATGTTAATAAAACATTATTGACTGTTATCAACCATGGTATCATAAATAACAATTCTTCAAGATCACACTAAATATTTTTTAAAACTTTTCTGAATACCTACCCTAATCATGAAGTTTAATTTATACTTCATTCTTATCTTCTGCTTTGTTTATATCTCTATTATTCGTCATATTCACACATTTTTTCGCATTATTAATTTCTTTATTTGTATCTCATATTAATTTTCGTCTTTGAATTACTTGTTACATGTTAATGTTGAAGGTTGTTCATGAGAAACATAATATATTGATAAGGAATTGTACAATTGCCTTGGCTTATACCGTTGATTTATTTTTTTCGTCCTCGGTTATAACTTGAATTATCTTTATTTTAATCAAATTTAATTCAATGTTTATAATATATTGTAATAATATTAATAATTTTTTTATTAAATATTGATATTATGCCTTTTCTTTGTAATTTTCTTCCGAAAGTAAAGTTTCTGATTAATTAATTATGCAGAGCAAGTATTAATTCTTCTCATAACCACAATTTTCTGCGATATTATTCGTTTTGTCAACTTCCTGAAATAGAAGTATATATTATTATATACAATGTGGTTTTTTTTTTTATAACATTTTAATAATTAAAATGTTCTGGAAAAGTTTCACCTATTTGTAAATGTTATTTAAATAATTTTAAGTCAATAAGTCAATGAGAACGATATTATTTATTGACTTGTTTACTATATCTAAATTTACAATAATATTATTTAGCATTTCCTAATTATAGGAATTTCTATGGGGGTTTATATCCGAGTGCTAGCGTACGGAGTATTGTCGCGACTCGCGGAACCATGATATCAGTAATCGACAATACGTTAAGCCGACAATCATAACTAAACTAATCAGCTTAACTTAAAAATGTTTAAGCTTTTTTAGTTGCATTTTCCTGGTTAAATGCTTTTTTTTGTAGCATTATTGGCAATTTTTTAATTTCTTTATTGAAGGTTTTTAGTGCTTCATTTTCCTAGCCCTATTTATAAGTTTTCCAAGCTAATGTGCTCTACTGAGGGACTACAGTTACTTGAGTGGTGAGGAGTTGTACAAGGACAGGTTGAATWGTGGACGAGATCAATAAAGTAAAAACTCATAAAATAATATCCATATAAAATAGTTATAGGAATACTATAATTTCTTTCAAAAGAATTAAGTTATGTACAACCATAGTCGCAAATAGTGTTTGAGATTTGGGGGAGGGGGGCTAAAACCCAACTTTAATAATATTGAATAAGCTTTAAACAACATAGGAAATGTTTGGGGGGCTTAGCCACTAAAGCCCCTACCATAATTASGCCTATGCGTATAACTGATGTAAGAACTAATAAAGGCTCAAATAATTATAAAAGAACCAAAATGCACTATGTTCTATCACGAGCACAGTAATTAGTTATTCATTTGTATACTTATAATTTAGCAGAATTAACGATATTATTTAGGTAGTCGTGTTGACGACATCAATAAACTACATATCAACGTTTTTGAGAAAATTAATCATGGATGGAATTATCTTAACTTGGCAATTTGACCAAGATTGCGTACATAATAAAGTTATATATAAGTAGTTAGGTGGGTACCAATATAGGCATTATGAAAATAAACGATTTATATCTAATATTTCATAAAAGATCTATACAATACGAGTGACTCATATAGTATAATAAAATTGTATCATCACATATGAAATAAGAATTTATTATGATATTTTTACTACACATCAACGATTTATCTACAATTTTAAGTCATGACTTCACGAAAAAAAAAAAAACATTTTTATTATTTACACATAGGTAATATTGTATAATATAATAAATAATAATAATGTGTACTGCGTAAAATTATAGATTTTTCCACGGTCTTAGAAGATATCTTTTAATTTAAAAATCTCTAGTCATTTGTCAATAATATTAATCTCTTTCAATTATACCTATATATATAATTTTATAATTTTTAAATTGTTGAATTAGGTTGAATAAAAGTTTGTTCACAGAATGATTAATAAACTAATAAAAAAAATAAAATGTTATACAATATACGTGTAGTGCACAACTGCACGAGTCAATAAATTAAATGGAAAAAAAACTGTTTGTGTGTAAGCACGATGGATAAAATGAAACTGTAATTCTGACTGCTGAGCACCAAATCCAGATCAATCCATGTCCGGAATACCGATCGGGATTGAAACAAAAGTTACAATTCATTATATCTGGATTAAAATACCCAATCCGGATTACGATATAAATACGGATTATTAAGAATTTTGAAAACTAATATTTTTTTGTTTATCTAAATAAATAACTATAATTCATTAACTACCCACAAAATATGTATCTTACTAAAAAATGAAAAAATAACAAATTATCTCAAAAACAATAAAGCCGGATTCGATTCAAAATCCGAATCAACGGATTGAATCCGAAATTCCTGATCGACGAATTGATCCGAAATCAGAATTAAATAATTGTAATCTGTAATCTGGATTGGTCGAGGTAATGCTCAGCACTAGCCACTAACTGAAACCTTTCGTTTTTAATTTTATTAAATTACAAGTTCGTATATATACATATATATATATTATAATGTACCTACATCTATTATTATATATTAATATAAATATATTCAAAATGAATTAACTTACA